CCTTATGTTGTGGGACACTGGGAAAAAAAAACTAGGCGCCCTCTAAACTGGTACGGAGGGAGTATTAAGCAACCATAAATATGTACACTAATAGCAGTCTGCATCACAATCTGAATGAAAATAAGTCAATATAATAACTTACTCCGACCAGAAGACGCTCTTTTCCTGGGTGTAGAGGATGATGATGGATCAGTTGATCCCAATCCTGTTGCTGATGAATCAGAATCAGCTTCCAGTAATTGGACCTTGAGGTGCTTGGTAAAGTTTACCAAGTTGTCATACTTCTGCAGACAGCTTCGCAGCACAGACGTATCCTATGGGGCAGAAGTAAGAATTTTGTCAAGATATAATCAACACAGTATTTTGGGAAATGTGCTTGACAGCTTATGCTTATTGTTAGAGAAAAAAAAATATCCACGACAAACAGAACCCTAATGTAACTATCTGAAGAACTTGAGATGTGCAACTGTGCTTGCAGTGCAGGTGCTTCACAATTTTCAACGTGGCATGCATGCAATTATATACTCATATATCAATATAAATATATAATCACTTTGGCAAGTTAAAGCTGAGTATTGAGTGTTGTCAGAACTCACCGGTAATACATTAAGAACAAAAAGCGCATGTCCAAGAAAAAGAGCATCAACGTCTGTAGGGCTGCACAGATTGAAACAAAGGAAGTTAGTGTTCTGTAAATATCATACCATATGAAGAGCAATTATCAGTCAGTATGAACAGAAAGCTGATAAAATAATACGAAGATACATTTTCATGCAAGTCAAAACAAGATAAAGTGATAATACCTGTTGTCAAAGAGAAAGATCTGATCTCCTAATCTCGTAGATAAGGCATCATAAGCAGCATTTGCTTTCTGGTATATCTGTTCAAAAAAGACTTAAATTGTATCACGAGATTTTCCCATGTGATGAACAAATTAGCCTTAAGAAATATGAGTGGGGAAGTAGAAACCTCCTCTTCTTTTTCTGCAGCATTAAGCTTAGTTATGCCCAGTTGTTGCTTCACTTCTCTCGTTTTCTTCCAATAGAGTATCTTTCCAATGGGCCAGGAGAGATCAGAAAAGTAGATATCATGTGGAATGCTTCCATCAGAAGCCAGCCAGAGCTCATATTGCAAAGCATCTGAAAGCCAGGTCATAACCATGGCCTTTGTGGATAATACATCCGAATAAGAAACACTAGGATGCTTTGAGTTCAAGTCAACAATTTTCTCCTCCTTGAGATATTCAATTACACCACCCTTTTCATTGTTGAATGCAACACATTCACCAAACTCGACATATGGTATGTGATCTGTGGAATGAAAACTAAGGTATAAGAACAGCGAGCAGTGAATATACTTTACAAATAGTAGGAAAAAACCAAGATTTCAAGTATCTACCATTGTAAAGATCAAATATGCTCTTTCTTTTGTTTATCCCCCTCTACACTACAAAAAAGTTTACGGACAGGTGGGACATACTTCATCCCCCCTTTAACTTTCATAGAACTCCACCCTTCAGCACCCAAACCCCAGATGTTTCGTCCCTCAGTTCCACCACCCTTCCAAATCCCTTTAACATCAAACCGAAGAAAGAAAACAACCAGGCTTGCAAGTTACTCTGACGCTCGAACGATACAGCCAGTTACTCACTATGAGCTGCTTACTGTCATTTAAACAAGATCTCTTGAAATTTCAGCTAGCCAGTTTTAGAAGCTGTCCTTGCAACACAGAACTGGTTGTGGCATTCAATTATCTGATGCCGCATTAGTGTTAGCAAACGGTAGTCATTAATGGACTATAACCTTTTTCGTTCATAAAAGCAAACCTACATATATATCTAACTGTGCTCTTTTAGATAAAGAGCCTTGCTGCCACATGTGCCTAACCAAACTAGATTATCAACAATAAGTATCATGTGCCTAACAAAACTGGATTATATCAACCAATAAGTGTCATGTATCTAACAGAATATATGCAGAACTCAGATAGCATCTCATCGCCACGGACATGAGAAACTGAGAATCTCTGCAGAATGCGCCTTCGCATTTGCATGAGAACAACAACACAATCATCTTCCCCAGCCCCCCAAAATCACCCCCCACGAGCAAATGCATCAATCCCCTAGCGCAACTCTGACATCATCTGACGCCGCCGAGAGGGGGACAGCATGAGCGGAGACCGGCAAAACCGAGCGAGCGCATAGAATTTGAGCTTACGGCCCTGGTACATGTCCACAGGATTCGGGTGAGGGGAGCTCACCGGCGTCGGGGAAGGAGGAGTCGACGTGGATGTCGAAGGGGACGTTGCACATGCGGAGGTAGAGGAGGACGGGGAGGCAGGTCGGGCAGGCGGTGGGCAGCCCGAAGGCGGCCTTCCTCGCCACCAGCACCTTCCGCTCAGCCTCCTCCCACTCCGCCGCCGCCGCCGCCGCCGCCGATGCCATCGCCGGGAGTGGAGAGGATTCCTTGGAGCTTCGGGAAGAAAAAAAGGCCGAGGGTTTATGGGTTTGCTCGCCTCGCCGCCCCGCTGCATCTATGAAGCCCATCACGTACACTGGGAATCCAATTCCGGCCCACATCACGTCGGCCCTGGGGGAATCTCGTTCTTGTTGGAGTAGGCCCGGCCCAAGTACAGATGAGCATAAGAGAAAATGAATAAGTCCATTTTAACTCTCATATATAGGTTTAGTCTTATTCATATTCCTAAACTGCGATATGGGATATGTTGACCCCAAAACTTGTTGACCCCAAAACTATTAAAACCGATGTAATTTAACTTTCTTGTCTGTTTTAAGAGCAATTTTCATTGATTTGGCTCGAGCTCGTGTGGCGGTGTGGACGAAGAACGCTCCTCCTCGCTAGATGTCGTCGTGCCGCTGCCAACTGCCATTCTTGAGCTCGTGTGGTGGTGTGGGAAAGGGGAGCATAGGAGAAATACTCGGCCACACGGGTCCCTGACATGTGGGCTCCACATATGGACCTAGTCCCATTAGACCAGGTCAAAGAGCCATATTAGCAAAAACCAGCATCTCCCTAAGGCCTTCCGCCTTGCCTGGTTGGGCCAGCCATGCTAGAGATGGAGATCCATTGCCATATCTAAAAAACCGATGTGCAAGACTAGAAGAGTATTTTTGTCGATGAGTTCATCAGCTATTGGATTTTTGTGATGTTTGTATTTTTATATCTATCTACTGAATTTATTGGTAAATTCTCTGAATCTTTGGGTCTCCGATAATTTTGGTCATGGCTGAGACCGAAACCAAATTATCCGATACTGAAATGGGTCATCTGGCTATATATGAGCTTTAAACATAAAAAGTAAACAAAGGAGCAACCGTAATACCCTTAGCCCGTTTAGGCTGCGTTCGAAATGCGTATTATTGCATATTATTGCATATTAATTAAGTATTAATTATTTATTTTTAAAAAATAGATTAATATAATTTTTTAAAATAATTTTCATATAGAATTTTTTAAAACAGTTTGAAAAAACGTGCGCGTGAAAAACAAGAGAGGTGAGTTGGAAAAACTGAGGGAGGAACACAGGCTTAGTATATTTCAAGTTTTCAACTAAGCCCAAGTGTTCATTTGGTAGGAGTAGTTCTAGGTGAAGAGTTTAGATGGGTTTGATCTAGTTTATATACTCGATTCACTCTAACAATATCAACACCTTCAACTTAACCCTTTCAAATGAAACGTTAACAATATTATATAAGTAAAATACTATAAAAACGTGGGTCTGCTCAGCATATATATAATGGACTAATACGGATTTGAAGGCTAGTGTAACACAAATTTACAGCAATTGCCTCTATCTTCTTGTTCCTCTAACAAATCAATAAGCCGGCGTCATGATGTTTTAATGAATCTCACCAAATTTCTGGATCATCATGTTTCAAATTTTCAATAAACCTCATCAATTCTTTTTCCGTTCGTTATTTTTTTTTTCGATGAGAGAAGGCCATGTTCAATTCTCACGCAAAAACTTTTTACACTGTCACATTGAATTTTTGGCACATGTATAAAGTACTAAATGTAGAAAAAAAACCATTTACACATATTACGTGTAAATTGCGAATCGAATCTTTTTAAGCTTAATTGTACCATGATTTGACAATGTGGTGCTACAGTAAATATTTGTTAATAATGGATTAATTAGACTTAATAAATTTGTCTCGTGGTTTTCAAGTGGAATCTGTAATTTGTTTTGTTATTAGACAATGTTTAATACTTCAAATATGTGTCCACATATTCAATGTGACACGCAAGGCCAAAAATTTTTGCCAACTAAACAGGCCTAAACTGCTCCTAATATATGTTTGGTATAAGGTTTTATCAATTTTTGATGTGTTTTTTTTTTCTAAGGGTGTGTTTAATTCACGCCAAAAATGAAAGTTTGGTTGAAATTGGAACGATGTGATAAAAAAAGTTAGAAGTTTGTATGTGTAGGAAAATTTTGATGTGGTGGAAAAGTTGAAAGTTTGAAGAAAAAGTTTGGAACTAAACTCGGCCTAAATATAGGCCCTGTTTGGAGAACTGGCCAAGAGTTATTTTGAGAGCTATTTTTTAGCACAACGAAATAACCCTTCAAAAAATAGCCCCAAGTTGTTTGGATCCAAGGGTTATTTTGAGAGCTATTTGACCTTCATGTATCTTCCTATGGAGGGAGATAGAGAGAAAAGACACTTTTTCAGTGGACACCACCCGAAATAGCCCCAATTAGCACACCTTGGGTGGGTTATTTCTAAATAGCTCTTAAATAGCTCACCCTTTTAATCTTTTTGGACTGTTTAATCTATTTGAGGGAGGACTTAAAAAAAATATCCCTTAGATCAAAGAGAGGCATAGAATGGACAGGTTCGTGCGAAGTCCACATCAGTGGGTCGGGTTCGTGAGGAAGTCGACGTCAGGTGATCTCTTTTCCCGAGTCCACTGTCCAACAGTAAAATGGACAGAAGGCCACATCGCTGACCGATCCTGATCTTCTGTGAGGTTCGAGCGACACGCGCGAAATGCCGGTGATTCCCCTGGTCCCATTTAACCTGCTCCGTATAAATACAAGGGAGAGGGAGCAGCTCAACGCACACCGAACAACGAACACTGTCAAGCTGCAACACACAAGCTGCCTGCGGCTGCAATGGCGGATCGGGTGATCCATTACCTCCTGCGCGGCAACCAGCTGCAGGGCCGCCGCCAAACCCTCGCCGTCGGCGTCGGCCACCACCACCGCCGCCGGCTGCTCCTCCTCGACTCCAGCCGCGTGTTCATGTTACTCGCCGTCGTTATCCTCGTGCACCTGCTCACTGCAGGCGCGGCCGCCGTCCAGGGCGCCGAGCCGTGCGTCCTCGTCGCCGCCTTCCTCCTGTGGCTGCTCGGCGCCGCGTTCGCCGTGCTGTCGCTCGCCGCCGGCCAGTTCCCCGTTCTTGCTGCCACCGCTGCCACCATCGCGACCACGCTCCGCAGCTACCTGATTGGAGGTCTCTAGCCCAGCTTTGGGTTTGGGGACAGTACTAGTTCTGAATGTACTGTGCAGTACTTTCATTCATACTCTGAAATCGCACTTAATTTTGTCTCTACTAGATTATTGCTTAAATATAGCCGACTAGCCATATATATACTTTCTCATCAAGTTTCAACTTTCAAGTCACCTGTTATTGTACTGTAGCTTTCAAGTGCCATGTTTATTTAAATTTATCTATTCAGTTCTACCTAAACAAACTTAAATTGCTGTGGCCATATTATATTTATTTATCCTTTGGTGCGAAGAAAACGGGCCAAGCATAGACAACTACCTTCTTTTCTAAAATGTAAAGATTCCTGCACATTTTAAAAAATATGTAGAATTTTTTATATTTTAGAATGGATAGAGTAATTATTATATATATACGACAGTGTTCCTGAATCGTGACTTCGTGAGGAGCACGGAGAAAACGTCCACACGAATTCTACGTCATGCGGCCCATCGTACCTTCGCTTTCGTTCTTTCCTGTTAGGATTGTGCTTGCCCGTCTTCTTGGGGAGGTCTCATACCCGCATCGCTGCGGCGTGCAAGCGCAACTACGGTCCAGTTGAAAGAAGAGCAAGTTAGCTTATGTAAAACGAGAAAATCATTGATATATGATTATTTAACTTTTAGTTATTATAAAAATAAAATTAAATTTATTTGATATTTTAAAATAACTTTTATATAGAAGATTTTTGCACGAAATATATTGTTTAATTATTTGAAAAGGTATTCACAGGAATCAATGGTAGAATCTACGTCTTACTCCTTTTGTTCAAAACACATTCTGTTCAGATTCATTGTACTAAGATGTGTTTCGGATGTGTTCCATCCTAGTACTAGTCTAGATTTCTTGGGACGGAGGGAGTAATAAAGAAAGAACGGGCTTACGTGCATCTTCCTTGTGTTTCATAGATTCTTTTGTTTCATATGAACTTAAACCTAATGAATAAAAACTCAGTTGGACTCGAAAATAGACCATGTATACCATAATAGCCATGTTCTGCCTTTTTTTTTCTTCTCGTGTCTTTCTCGCCTTACATATTTTTTATCCAGGAAAAAAATTATAAATAGAAACTTTGTACATGATAATTTTATAATAAAAAAAATTATACATACAAGCTTTTGTGCGTATAATTTTTTCGATACCAAAACTTCCCTAAAAAACAAACTTGGAACAAATTCGAAACAAAAAAAAAGTAAACGAAGAACAAAAATGTCATGTGGGGCCGTGTTGACGCGCGGCGGAGTATCACTTGTGGCCTTCTGGGAGGTGGTTGCGTCGATTGGTTGGCGCAGCTGCGTTGCAACTTCCAAGCGCGTTTGAAAACGTCCTCGGAGTAGTGCCATTTGTGCTTGCTTCTCGTAACGAAACCCTGGAGGTTTGGAGCAGGAGAGGCTGCAAATTGCCATCGCATCATGGACTAGATGGACAAATTTCTGATTCATACCGCACCGGGCATGATCACAAGTCTGATGAAGTGTTTCTCGGCTGGATTTTGTAAGGGCATCCTCAATATTTGTGGTGTAGTGTAACCTTAAGGTGGGCCCTATGAATAGTGAGCCATTGTTAAAGCCATACCCACAATGCTATGGTTAGAATTTAGCCACAAGATAGGCCCACATAGAATAGAAAAATAATTGTTTCATCTCTTGTTCATGAAGTGAATGAGAGAGAAAAAATATTTTCTTTTTCTTGTGGTAGACCTTAAGCATAAGGTGCACCCTAAACTAATGCTACTTTCCACAATGTATATAGCTCACTTTACAAGTGCAATCATTACCTTAAGGTCACCTTTTTCATACATTGTGGTTGCCCTAAGGTAGTAACTCAGGATTTGATTTTGAGTTTAGGGCATGTTTGAGGAAGCTTCTGACAGATGCAGTTTTTCGTCCAAAACAGTCAGTTTTTTTTTCCAGATTTTAAGAAGATGTAGTTGTAGAATCCAAAAAAATGAATTAAAAACCCCAATCAGACCCTTAGACATGCCACAAATCAACATAACAGAAAACGCCATGGAATACAACCGACTTCACAGCTTCTAACCAAAGGCTCCAAAGCTCTTTCCATACACCTGCATTTTCAGGCTAACGAAATTCCTGAACAAATGAAACCGAAAACTTCTCCCAGCACGCCAAAAGACAAAGCGAGTGGAGAACGAGACTGCTCTCATCATTTGCCCCCGAGGAACAAAGCAAGGTTACATGGAGGAAACCATAACATAGAAGGTGGGTTAACTACAAATGCACAAATTTTAAAAAGGGAAAAAGTATAAAATGTGCTGATCAAAAACCTTAATAGCAATCGATCATACAGTCAAATTTCTACTTCTTGGCTGTTAACTGGCTACATTAGGACGGCATGATTCCTATGTTCAACAGATCAAGTTTCACCAAATTAATCAAATAATAGTTGCACACAAGCAGGATATTTGTATGCCAAAATTACAATCTCCAAAATAAAGTTGCAGTTTGGTGCATCACTGCAATTTTATTTTGGAGATTGTAATTTTATTTTGGTGACCAAATCATAAGCAGTGTAGCAGAACAAGCATGCATGGTACATGAAACATCAGTCACAACCATGGACAAAACTGCACCTTGGTGGTAGTATCTCAAAGTACAACCAGAATAAGTATAAAGCATCATCCTATCAATCATGTCAAGAAAAAAAAACACAACTATATTTACATCTTAGTTGAAAAACTATTGTTCCGCAGAAACACCTTTCAATGCCACTTCAAAGAAGTACAATGCTCCTCAGGCAGTTTCAAAAAGAGAATCCTAGACATCTTAGTACTAGTTCAAGTATGGTTTCACAGGATTGAGTTGCTCGCAAATTTAATGAATCAATCATGAACACAGTTAGGGCTTATTCGGAATGGAGGAGAAACACAGGAAATGAAGGATTTGGGTTCCTATGGATTGCTTTACTGTGGCGTCATTCAGATCACAGGAAAACGTTCATAGGAAATACATAGGGAAATTTCCTGCACTAGCCATATCACTGGAAGATCACAGGAAGAAAAACGTCCATGCTGACCTCTTTTTTCGCTCCCTTCGCGTGGGAACGAGGCAAATCATGCCATCAAGCAACTAAAGCACATTATTAGGTTGATTAATGTTGTTTAATTCACTAGTAGTATGTGATAATTTTGTAATAGTGCACCTATTTTCTTCTAAAGATTCCTATGTTTTTCCTTTACTCCATCCACACCTATTCACATGAAATTCCTATGTTTTCAAATCCTCTGTTTTACACTTGCATTCCTATCCTATTCCTATATTTTTCCTATTCCTATGTTTTTTCAATCCTGCATTCCGAATGAGCCCTTAAAACGCCGATCTTCCTACGTTAATAATAGCACTAAAGCTAAAGGGGGCTTAAAACATAGATATCCCGGAACAGATAGATCTTTAATTCTTTGTTAGCGTAGAACCCATATCATACTGGGAAAAAATTAAAGTACTGAACACCAGATCAGATTCATTGTTTGAATAAGTCTAACACAGATTTATCATAGTCAAGGATGCAGCTTACTAGAGTATCACATTTTGTTCCCAAATTATTAGAAAGAGCATAAAACCAACTAAACCAATGTGAAATCAAGAAAATTCAGGCACAGGTACAAGATAAAGTAACAAACCATCCATAGTATCCCCTCAAGTTCATAGTTGGCCCAAAGGTTCGTCTCTTGCTGTTGGGGGTAAGTCTGTCTTATTACTGTCTAATACAGCCCCCCTTTGTAATACCACCATCTTTTGTTGTTGGCTAATGACTGTTGTTATTGTTAAGTTGAATTGCCCATGAGCAAAGAGACCTATGGTGGCCACAGATAAAGATTTTAACCTACAGTCTTAAACCATATTCCATACATAATTACTGACATTCCCATAGGCAAGGTACATGGTGAATAGAAATATTAAAAACATCTAAGAAGCTGAACTATGTAGCCATAGGAATTCTAGGTCTTTCGAAACAACAGAATCACCTTACAGTTTGAATTGATTCACTAAACACATTCGATGACAATATAATCACATGCATAGATCTCAAACGATTTTACCCTTTACCCTACACCCTTGTTTTTCATAGTACCTATCTCCCTTACCACAATAACAATCAAGCAAGGCATACAGAAATCGCAAAATTGAACAAACTTAAGGGAATTCACTGTCATAGATAAAGCATCGACCGCCCAAGCATGTCCAACATAAAATTAAAACACATGATTATCAGATAGTTTGGTTTAGATAACAAGAAGCATAATAATGATAAAACCATCTAAGAGCAGCAGGCATCACAAGGCACAGCAAACCAGCACATCAAGCCTCAGGCGCCGGCTGCGAGAGGCCGGCCTTGGCGAGCAGCTTCCCCATCGCCTCAGGGGAGCACACCTGGTACTGCACTTCCCCGGTGCCGGGCTGCAGGAACACCTCGGCGAGCTCCAGCTTCTCGGCGGTCAAGCTGGTCGAATCCATGGTCTTGCTCAGGACCTTGAGGGCGAGGGCTACGGCCTCCTCCCGGGTCAGGCCGTCGCGGTAGTCCTGCTTGAGCATGGACTGCGCCGCCTGGCTGTTGGCCCCGACGGCCGCGGCCTTCCAGCCGCTGTAGTTGCCGGAGGGATCGCTCATGTAGAGCTGGAAGCCATGGTGCTTGTCCCAGCCGGCGAAGAGGAAGGAGACGCCGAAGGGGCGGAGGCCGCCGAACTGGGTGTACCCCTGCTTGGTGTCGCAGAGGGATTGGACGAGCTGCTCGACGGGGATGGGCTCCTGGTAGGAGAGGGCGTAGCGCTGGGCGTGGAGGCGCGCCGTGTTGAGGAGGATGTTGGCGTCGGACATGATCCCGGCGACGGCGCAGGCGAGGTGGGAGTCGATCTTGTACATCTTCTCGGCGGAGCGCGAGGTCTGGAGGAGCTTGGAGGTGACCTTCTTCTCGCCGACGAGGACCACGCCGTCGGCCGCCAGGACGCCGAGGGCCGACCCGGCGTTCCCGATCGCCTCCATCGCGTACTCCACCTGGTAGAGACGCCCCTCCGGCGAGAAGATCGTCGTGCGGCTGTCGTACCGGCGAGACATCACGGCGGCGGCGGCGAGAGATTGGGGTTTTCTCCGGTTAGATTTGGGGATTTGAGGGGGGAGAAGTGAGGGGAGAGGTGTGAATCGGGTGAGGTTAAGGAGAGAGACCTACTTGTAAGACAAGAAAAGAAAAGAGAAAAGGCCTTATGGGCTGGATTTGATTTGAATTTGTCATGGAAACGAATTTGTACATCCGAGCCCCCTATAGATTCTAACTTTTTCTTCAAACTTCCAACTTATCCATCATATCAAAACTTTTCTACACACATAAATTTTTAAATTTTTTCTTTAAACTTCCAATTTTAGTCAAACTTCCAATTTTAGCGTGGAACTAAACACACCCGAATTGAAGTGGGGTGGGGGATGAGGAGATATTTAGAAGGAAAAAGTAAACCGAAGGTCCCTGATCTTGTCATCGAATTAAAAAACGTCCTCAAACTGCAATACCAGATATACGGCGTTCCTTAACTAATCAAAACCGGTCACAATAGGTCTTTCGGTGGTTTTGACTCCAGTTTTATCCGACGTGGCGGCTGAGTCAGCGTGGAACCCACGTGGGCCCCACATGTCAGGATGCCACGTCATCTCTCTCCCTTCCTCTCTCTCTCAGTCTTCTCTGCCGCGGGAGAGGAGGAGGGTAGCACCGCGACGGCGGCGGGCGGTGGCGGCGGCTGCAGCGGGAAACACGGCGGCTCCGAGGCCTACGGCAGAGGCCAGCGAGCGAGTGAGACACGCGGAGGCGGGATCGGCGGACATGCGGGGAGGTCGACGAGCTCCTCCCAAGTCCAAATCCTCCATTGTCGGCGAGCTCCACTGCGTGGAAAGGGAGGAGGTGGGGTGGCCGCGATCGTCGGTGAGGAGCTCGAAGGCAGGGGCGCAAAGGAGGCGGTGGCTCGGTGGCTGCCACCCTCTCCCAGCTCCTCCCCCTGGCCACAGACCGCCGCCGTGCCGTTCCATCAGCCGCCCCATGCTCGCCCGCCTACCGCCACCGCCCTCTGCCACACACTCACTTGCCGCCGCTCTACTCCACCGGCCGTCGTGCCCTCACACGCCGCCTCCGTCGGGCGCCGCTCAACCCTGCTCGCTGCCGCCCGTTGCTACTCCCCCGCGTCAAAGAGAAGAAAAAAAAGAAGAGGAAAAAGAAAGGGGAAAGACAGGATGCTCCGCATCGCCACCGCCGCCGCCGCGTTGCCAGCCATCGGACCTCCTCTCCCGATACACCCCGTCGGTCTCCTCCCCACCCGTCGGCCGGCCTACGAGAGAAGAGTGATAGAGAGAGAGGAGGAAGGGAGAGAAGAGGGGAAACAGAGAGATGACGTGACATCCTGAAATGTGGGGCTCACGTGGGTCCTACGCTGACTCAGCCGCCATGTCGGACAAAACCAGGGTCAAAACCACGAAAGAAACTATTGTGACCGGTTTTGATTAGTTAAGGGACGCCGGATTTGAGGACATTTTTTAACTCGATGACAAGTTCTGGGACCTTCGGTGTACTGAATCCAATTTTATGTTAGGGGTGAATTCATCCCAAATTCAAAAGTTCTGATATTGTCATCGAAGAAAAATAGCATTGTAAACAATACTTCAAGTGTCGTGTGGTTCTGATTATTTGATCTTTACGGCTCATAAGCCATAGAAAATAAACTAAGCAAAAAAAAATTATGTGCAAAACTTTTTATAACGATTTAAAAATTCAATGCTTAAAAACAAAACTACAAGGAAAAAACTTAATATTAACCATTTAAATTTTAGCTGCAACTGCTAAGACAACCAAATGATGAGGCATGATGGGTCATGTGAACTACCGCTTTTTCTTTTTAAAAAGCATCTAATATAAATGAAATTTTTATAAAGAACACTTAAGAAAATGCGAAAAATTATATAATATTTGACTCTATTTAGAAACCGAACTCACCACTGGAAGTATGTAGCAACAAGCAAGGAGTAGCAAAAACATGCGCACAAAGTTATAAAAACTTAAACATGGGTATTAACACGCAATTTTCGTAAACAAATGATCTTCGGTGTCAATTGACACATTGATATGGGTGCAAAAAAGCTTTACAAATTGATACAAGTAACATGTACAAAACTTTCAAAAAAAAATTAACTTGAGATTACACCCTGGCTATAAATGATGGTAGAGCAACAAAACTATAGGCTAAAAATCATGACCACAAACCAAACTGTACATCAATATTGTTGCTTTCCTCTTGACGTTACACAGTACCTTTTCCTGTACAGCTCATGTAAACCCAGCTCAATGCCCATACAATACAGACATAGGCTCATGAACATGCTAAGAAGACAGAAGGAACAAAATTAAAACAACCAGCTTTGTATATGCACATCTGAACACCTCATGCCTTTCGATGCTTCACAAGTGAAACCCATTTCCACCAGAGGTAGACAGCTGATGAAGATATCACTGTAGCAGCTATGGAAAGAGCAGCAATTCCTGCAACCACTCCTCTTCGCTTTTCATCGTGCCTTGATGTAAGCGCCACAGGAGGGGGGCTGGCTTGCGTCTCCGCGGAAGGGAATACTGAGAAAGTAGAGCATTTTCTTGTCAGTCAATGTTTACCTGATAACCAGAAAAAAGGTAATCAAGAAAAATAGAATATGTACTGTGAGTCTGTAATTTACCTCTTATTGCTGACACCAGAGGACCATAAGTTCCATTGCGTGGAATACAGCAAGTGCCTCGCCCATTCCAGTAGAGATGTATTTTCAACACTGAGGTGGTGACATCCGCTGTATAATTTCTGTTAATGGGTCTGTTGGAACCCCCTGCTTCCTTGGAAATGTCAAAATCTGTCATGATATTCCGATCCTGCAGGTAACCACACATTTTTGTTCATGTTTTGCCCATATGGTCTGGATGTGCCATTTGTTTTGCTTTAAGATTGTTAAACTTGGAGAGAGAGAGAGAGAGAGAGAGAGAGAGTGATCAGACCTGAATGTCGATGTTAAATAAACGCCTTCCTGATCCACTTTCTATAACTATCTCTGCAAAGAAGAGTTGAACTGTATATTTCCCACTAGGCAAGCCAACCACATAGTACCATAAGGAACCAGTTGATGTTCTTGCCGTTCTGTAGAGCTCAGGTATGTTTGTTCCATTGCCGGTAGTTACAATACCAGAAGAGTTACTAAAAGGATCAGTGCCCACATGACTGACTACCCAATTATTATTAGTGTCCACATGAAAGTCTGCTGCTCCAAGGTTAGCGGAGTCGTCATTGAACATATTCGACGGATCTGAAGGAGGAGTATATTGCTTGCCCCCACAGTTCACAGCAAAGGATACAGGATCTGCATTTATGGTGTGATGATGAATAAGACTCCCAAATAGACTGGAATGATCTAAAGTGAACCTTTAGAAGCATTGACAAATCTCCAACAGCACTATAAATATTTACATCAAAACGGTTAATTGCAGCATTATCAGCATGTACTAGTACTAGTAGTCTTATAGGAAAGTAAGGTATGTTCATAAGTCAATGGTCAAAGTTTTTTAAACGTACTAGTTAAACCTGTTGTGTTGCATCCTTTCATGTCGACACAATTGAGGAGACGAAGGTTTTCACTGCATGATAATAGAGAAAGTAAATAATATGTTGCATGCTATTTTGGCTGTTCGCATATGAAGGTTACCAACCCAAATAGTATGCACGGAAAACAGAGCGGTCAATTAGCATGTGATTAATTAAGTATTTGCTAATTTTTTTTTTCAAAAATGAATCAATATGATTTTTTTAAGCAACTTTCGTATAGAAACTTTTTGCAAAAAAGCGCACCGTTTTCAGTTTGAAAAGCGTGCGCACGAAAAACGAAGCAAGAGAGTTGGGAACTTGGAGTTCCAAACACACCCTAAAGTAATCAAGAAACAAAATTAGTAAATTCTAATGCATACTAGAAGGAATGCTTGTACGTTCTAAAATTATCAAGTCTGCGTTGCTGACGCTATCAGCCTACAGTCAAGTTTCCAATTCACGCATTCTCCTTGTTAAGAATTATTTTACCTCCCCAAATCCTCTAACACGGGTTATGCAGTTCTCTTAACAAATAATATGTCCTCAATCTCATGAAAAATATAAAAAGGAATTTCTAAATGTTTGCCTCAATCTCATGAATTGCATAGCAAACTTGAGAGCCCTTCAGTCTTAAACTGTCCTTAACCAGTTAAACTTATTTGATTGTTTCTTTAAACAATAGCAAGAAAGAGAGCAAATATAGGAGCATAGTGATTAAATTATTACTTGTTCGATGATGGAAGTCTATTTCAATGAGCTTATATGAGTATGACAACAATATCATAAACCATTTCAAGTGTTGCTTACCTGCCAACTGAGCTTCCTGCACCAATCGAAGTTCCAATATAATTTCTATGCATAAAAGACATGTTCACAAAATAATGAGTAAGGCCACTGTAACAATCAGTTGAGTCTAGTGCTTAATACAAGTAAATGGCATACATCCGCATCTTTCTATCAGCAGAACTGCTAGGAAGCCTTCCCCTAAGCAAAGGATTATATGTGACATCCCTGTAGTTTTCAATAAAAAGGAAAGGAGAATTGTTAGACAGGTTTAATATCAGATTGTACTTTGTACTAGGGAAGAAAATCTATCCTACTTCAACATATGCTCTGTCGATTTTTATGATCGGTAATATAATTTATAGGGTGCACGAGAACAAGGAGAGATGGTGACACAAATTTATACTAGTTCAGGCCCTCGAATGAGGTAATACCCTAGTCCAGTTAGCGTAGATTGGATCTACGAGGTGTGTGCAAATCAACAATGGAGTGGCTGATGGTGGGTATAATGGTGTCTAACCTCTCTAGGGTTCCTACCGATGCCTTTTATATAGTGCTAGGGCATCCGGCGGCATGTATGGCGCGATATCCATAATAATCCGGGTATCTACCATCTATTTACATGGGATTGGATAGACTTTCTTATCTCTTATCCCTTTCTATACAAAAATGTTGCATGGGCCTAAGGCACTCGACCCACCCTATGCAGTACAACCCAAAGGCCTCCTCTAGGGCACCCGGGTACCGTGTCCCCCACATGCTCCACCATCAAATTAGGCACTATGAGCATGCTGAACTTGACCACATTGCATGAAATGTAAAATGGCAAATAGAGTTGCATCTAATTCTGCCTTCTCTTTTCCTCTTATTAGCTTGGGTGAAGGAGGATTAGCTGACAAGGAAAGGATTTCTCTTATCCTCTTATCAGCTTGGGAGAAGAAGGATTAGCTGACAAGGAAAGGATTTGTGCTATATTGCCGTTCTTTCTCATTTAGTATTTGAAGACGGTTGTGTAACAGTATGCACCTTGACAGAGTACGAAATATTTTAAGTAGTAGGGATTGCTTGCAACAGTAGCTGATGAAAATATAACATATAATAGTTGCCCAGGTGGAAAAATCGTGCCATTTGTTTTCCATCCATGAAGTTCACATTATAAAATGCTTTTTCCTACACTTCAATCAGCAAATGCAAACAGCAGACTTACAGAGCAACTAGTGATTGAGGCATTTGATCAGGCAGAGATCCATTGAAATTGTTTTCACCTACATAACTAACAAATAAAAAATCATCAGAAAGGCAGGGTAAACAATAACTTGGAAAAATAAAAATGGAAAAGAATAAATAATAATATATGCACCCCAATGACCAATAGTTTATTGATTTAGGCCTAGTTCTTTTCTTCAACTCCAAATTTCAACTTCCTCATTTTCCGTTAGCACGCTTTTCAAACTGTTAAATGATACTTTTTTTAAAAAAAATCTATATAGAAGTTGTTTTAAAAATTCAAATAAATCCATTTTTTAAGTTTATAATTATCAATACTTAATTAATCATGTGTTAATGAGCTTTCTCGTTTCGCGTGCGCTAAAAATGTCTCTCAAACTTGAGGCAAAGAACACAGCCTTAGCCAGATTCAAACTGATAATTTGAAATAAACATGTTAGCTCTCAAGATAGTTAGATAAAACCTTCGGTAAAAAGAAAAGGTAATTAGATAAAACTTTAAAATGTATAAGGTTTCCAAATTTTGCGCACGAATTAGAGCTTAGAAGCTGACTCTACAACATACTGGGAATTCATATTCTGAAAAGTATAGCATGGTCAATTACAAATTCCTGAAGTGCTGGTGGAAGACTGAAAATATTCGTAAGTATAGCATGATTTCAGCTCTCAATTAGAAACAATAGCTTCCCCAGAACACAATCCTACAGTTGAACAAAAGTATGGCACTGCAAGAATTTCAGAAGTGACGTGTTCAGATGACGGATTAATCACAGCATTGTGAAACACATCATATTCTTTGAGGCAGGTTCATCCCTGGTGGCAGTATTGTCATCTTCTCGTGCCCCTGAAGGCCTCTTACTATTGTTTGGACATTAAAATTACATAGTTAGTGATGATAAATCAGATATTGAAGTAGATATTCCAAGCCAGACGAGTAGACAGGCAAACCCTGGCACAAATGCAACCAAGCAAGGTCTCTAGAAAACGAAGACTTTCCTTTTTGGCAAGGATAGCAATGAGGAAACTCGGACAGCAAAGATACATTAATTTCGCCATCCATCCTTAATAGTTTAAAGACAACATGATAGTTTAAAGATGTCGCTTGTCTATGTCATTACTGACTGAAAGGTCATATCCCAAGATACATGTAAAGAAAAGCTGTTGAGCGACCTGGTCAACATGTACAATGGGTTTTAACTTGAACTTGCAAGCACTACCAAGTTCCCTAACGCAAGCATCTCATCCGAAATTAATTTTCTTATTTAACAAATCATATTTCACGAAGAATCCAACTTACAGGTACTTTAGGCTACTATCGTACTGCTGAAGGTCAATTGATCCTGACAAGTTGTTTGATCTCAAATCTCTGCAAACATAAGGCAAATTGAGAGAGTAAGAGAGAGAAACAGGCAGAGAAGGAGAGAATCATCGCAAATAAAAACAGTAGTTATTTCAATGTTCACATTCATTGTAATATTGAAGATTAATATCAGAATACATGGTTTATTGTATTGTAACGTTTTTTTGAACAACAACAAAATCAAATAGGCATAGGCTTCTGCAGCCAAATTTAAAGTTGTTGCCTGCAAGGTGCATTGACAGCCCACCCCCCTCTTTTCCCAAATTGAAGTGTTTGAGATTCCAATTATGTTTCGGTTTGATTAACATAAGATTTAGTCGTTCTTTGAAACTCTATTAGAAGATGGGGTCACGATGGTTCTGAGATCAAGCACCCTCATGCTACTAAGCAACATCACCTCACTTTTTTCTAGAACACTCAACATCACCTCACTGACAGCAAAGAGCACAAAAGAGGGCCCCTGTTCGACATAGACAAGGATTGTGGTCCCCAGATGGAGAGTGTGCCATTGAGCATAAGCAAACAAAAGATTTTCTGAAACCTACACGTATGTTAATTTGTTCAGATTCTTCAGAATTTGGTTAGGAAACTTCCCCGTGAATCCACAATTCCTCAGAGATCTGCTTAGCAAAAACAAAGCATGTACTTAGAACTTGTATCAACCAACAACAATCAAAACAAATAGTCCAATGAAAAGAAATAAGGAGTGCGACAGTTGCAAACGTACAACGTTGAAAGATTTACCCAATCTCCTGTGAAATTAAAAGGATAGCCCTCGGTATCAAGGTCACCAATCATGCTGCAACAGAAGGTGGTTAATGTGATTAATAATGAAATCAGATTGGTGTGAATTTCAACAAATGATAATTTGGTTGTCCTGACTATGGGACAGATAAGAAGATTCTCTAGATGATAAGGCCTAAGATTAAATACAGTATTACATCAATATCTTCCAGAATACCTTTACTTGTAGTATGACAACACGAAAACTAAAAGATATTTCATTGTAACAATTGAAATTAGTTATATACAACTGCAGAAGTAAGCATTTTAAAAATTTATCAGTCCAAAAATGAAATTTCTTTTTGTCAATGTAACCGTGATTATGATTACATCTACATAACTCTTTATATGCCACTGCAATATTAAAAATACAATTATTCTTTTGAAACTGGAGGTAATTAGTCAAGTTTAGGACAAGAAATCAGTGAGCTTTAGATTTAGAGTTAACTAATGAAAATTATGATAGCAGATAATTGATTATTGGGTTTAAACTTGTAGGTCTCAATACAATCATTTGGTAATTGTACTTCTGGAACAGTTAAGTAGTCATTTGGCCTTGCCAAACTGTTATAGTGGCACATACAAATATTTTCCACTTTTGGAATAGGATCAGCATAGTCTGCTATCTTTGGAGAGCAACACGAACATATCCAATTTCTACCCTTTATAACGGTGTACGACTGATTGTGCTGTTAATAAAACAAACAATTAAAGTGGCTTACAGATTTTCTATATTGATCAATTTAGAGAAATTTTCTGGAATAGGTCCTTGAAGTTTCATCCCATACATTCTCCTAGCAAGACAATCATATTAGTTCTCAGGTTGGAAAGAAAGGAGTTACAGAAAAATATAAGGACAAGTAGTTATGCATACAAATCTGTAAGATTGGCAAAGTTCGCAATAAATCCTGGAACCATTCCTTCGATGTCATTATCAAACATCCACCTGCATAGAATGCCAATAAGTTAATTAGTACCCCCTCCGTCCCAAAATATAAGTATTTTGGACCTTGATACAATCTTCGAGATGCTACTTTGACTAACAATATCTATAAAAGTAAGATGTTTTAAATAAAAAAGAGTTGCATATTATGATAGTTTGTTTAATGATAAATCTAATAACATCAATTTTACATGATTGATCATTTTTATTTTTTTGCTTTTAATAGTTAAAGTAAAAAATATTTGACTTACACTATGCTAAAATGCTTATATTTTGGGACGGAGGGAGTATTACCTTTTTCTGAACAAAATACAATGTAATCTAATTATTTTTCAAACAGGCCTTGTTTGTGATGTTGATAGTGAAAACAAATAAAATGATTCTTTTGTGAAAATGGAAATGAAACACACTTACAGGGATTGTATACTTAAAAGTGCAGATGCATTAGGAAAGGACTCATTGAGCCGGTTATTGTTGAAGTGCCTGTAGATTTGGAGGTAAGGTCTTGGTGTCTTTGCCAACAAATAATATTGAAATAGACAACTTGAGCACAAAGAAAAATATGAGGCACGGAGATTCTTCACATACAATGTAATACTTACAATGTAAATATGAAGTGGATAAACCATTGGATAGTTTCTATAATTACAGACAGGTCCTAAAGTAACACAGCTAGAAACCAAAGTAGTATTGTACCAAAAAGGGCTTTGCTATCAGAGACAGGCGATGATGCTATCTCAAACTTCAAAGGAGTATGTCTGGATATGAAATACCTTGGATTTTTTTCTAATTTTAGAACTTAATATATTTTTTTATAAAAAGTTAACATCTTATTTAAAAACAAACCCCTTGGCCATGAGATGTGTACTGCTGTGGCAAAACAGTGCTGCTACAGTGCTACACCACCCACCATGGTGGCAGCATTGTCTTGACTCTTGCCATCCTATGACATTCCTCCTGATTAGCAGTTCTTTTTCATGTGCCAACTGAAGTAGTCTGGAGAAAGGCTCCAGATTTGGAAATAAGTTGTGAATGAGTTTATTTTAATTCTTTAAAAAAAGGTTCAAATATTAAAAAGAAATACCTTAGGTACATGCAGATAGTTTCTCGTTAAGGGAATAAGTATTATATAAATATGAAAGTGTCCAAGGCATTAGGCAATACTGGGAAGTCCCATGGCATTCAACAAGTTGGATGTACCATTACAAGAATGTAACGCAATTAAGTTCTTATAAAATTGATGAATGCTGCTGCAAAGGAACAAAAAGTTGTTTCATAATCACCATGTTTCCAGCTTGGATAGATTGCTGACTTGGGGAGGTATTTGACCAATCAGGTTGTTATTACTTAAATCCCTACAGAAAGAAAAGAGGACTAGTTACAATCAAAAGTTCCCTTATGTCACTCTACAAGCATCTAGCAGTTATATCTCACCATACTACTGCAAAGGAGTGTCACTAAAGATGTTTGCTACCTTCTAAAGCCAGTTGGATAATATGTAAAAGAATGGTAAATTAGTTTTGGATCTTAGCAGTTTGGTTAAAATGTTGCATAATTGGATAGCACAAGTTTTTAAAAACTTTCATTATATTCAAACTCACAATGTGAGTACATTTGACATGCACACTGGACAAACATCAATCCTGTCTCCAAATCGCTATTCAGTAGGTTGGCAGGATATATGCAGTATGAAAATAAAAACCCTCTAAATATATGAAAGCAGCGTCGTGTACATCCTTTTGGATGCAGAGGCCGGGTTTTAATCCATTTTCTAAAAAAAATGACCTATGTATACCGAACTACCAACATAGCATCTGAAATGCAAGTAAAGAGCATTTGCAGTGCAGAATAGATTCTCATTCTCCTCAGAAAATCATCAATTTCCAATGCATGTGCACAGAACATTAGATTTTATTCCAAGTATAGGGACATCATGCACTTCATGGCAGCTAATTACAACACAGTAACAACTTGTCGCTTGCTACACAAACTTGTGTGTTGAGAGCTATTTGATTGTGATTATTAATCTGTACCATTAAATTATAACATGGCATTACACCTATAACGGGTTGTTCTAGTATCAAGTGAATATGGTACAGATGAAAGAAGTGTCTGAAGTAAGAAACTAGTGTACGTGAATAGTAAGGAGTAAGAAGAATGCGTAATAGATTCTTCTCATAGCACCATTTATTTTACTACCTCTGTTTCAATTTACTTGTCGTTCTACTAGTTTCTCATAGAACAGCAAGTAAATTGATACGGAGGGAGTATACCATACATGTATCGACAGGTCCACATTAGGCATGGAAACGTCAGTTATACATATTATTATTTTACCCCAGTAAATACTAACAAGTAACAGCCTTCTGAGTAATGATTATAACAACTACAAAGCGCATCTCTATCGAAGAAATCATGAACCTATCACAAGTTCACAACAGATCAATTGTAGCATTTCCTAAGATAAGCAGTTTTACGATATCGGATACCGATGACAGGACTCACAGAGAGACCAGCTCCGTCAAACTGAAGAGCTCCGCTGGGATAAAGGTGATGTTCCTGTAGCCGGTGACGTTCCTGCATCATCCAGGGTGAGAACACCCATCATTTCATTTCCTTCCCCCACAAAGTGAGGCGTCAGAAACCAATCGAGGATTTGAGGTGTGCACGCTTACAGGTGCGTAATGCGGCACTCGTTGCTGCTGCAAGAGCAGTTGATGGACGCTTCCATTTCCGACGAATTAGACCAGACGAGCTTCCCGCACGGGTGGTACCCCTGCGGCATGGTGCCATCCTCCAGTCCCCACTTCTCGAACACCGTGTGCAGGGCGGCCGCTGCGGGGACGACAGAGAGACTCGGTCACCACACACACACGCACACATCCGCGACGACTTCGAGCTAGCCAACTCATCGCGATTAGGGCATCACATGAGCGAGTGAGAAAAATCCGTACCATCAGAGATGTTGGTGCTGTTTCTCGGCGGCGACGACGGCTGGCCGGACTGAGCGGCGGCGATGGCGAGCGAGACGAGCAGGATGAGGAGGGCGAGGGGGGCGGCGGGAGAAGCCATGGGCGGGGCGGCGTCGGGTGGAGATTGACTTGGTGAGGGGGAGGAGGAGGTGGAGAGTGGAGACTTGAGGGGTTTGGGAGGTTGACCGCGCGTGGGTTCGGCGAGACGAGGTCGTGGGGCTTGGTCGTCGGAGACGGAGAGAGCGGGGGCTCCGCGCGGCGGCGGGAGACGCGGCGCGGTGGACATTTTTTCCAGAATTGCCTCCCAACTTGTCAACATGAGTCCCCTTCGAACACAGCAATTCCAAATGGGTATTTTTTAAGTATGCAATAAGGGTATGCGTTTCCAAAAAATAATAAAAATAAAAATAGTATGCAATTCAAAAAAAAATGTATAGACAATAAGAGTGTGATATACTCCCTCCGTACTCATAAAGAAAGTCGTTTAGGACAGCAACGCAGTCTCCAAAACACAACTTTGACTTCTTGTTTTTATAAAAATATTTATTTTATATATATATACTTATACTTTTATGAAAGTATTTTTCAAGACAAATCTATTCATATAATTTTTATATTTTCAAACTCAAAAACTTGAGAGTTATTCATGATTTATATTACTAAGGTTTGACTTAAATATTGTCCTAAACGACTTCCTTTATAAGTATGGAGGGAGTATACTATACTTCCTTCGTTCCAAAAAAAAAACAAATCTTGGCTGTGTATATGGACAAACATACATGTTGTCCAAATACATAATCAATGTGTGTTCATATACATAGTTAGGATTTGATTTTTTTTTTTGGATGGGGAGAGTACATATTTCTAACTTCTACTCATCTGTTTTCTGTGCGCATACTTTTCAAACTGCTAAGCAAAATGTTTTTCTAAAATTAAATATATAAGAAAAGAATCATATTAATCCCTAACACAGCAAAGTCAGCAATTCCATATGGAGTTTTTAGAATGAAATATGCTAGTTCAAAATCTTTCGAATCAATGGAGTACAAATTCTTTTGATTCAGAGATGAGAAGCACAAAAGTTTCCCGGATAAAATGTGAACAGTATTTGTGCCAATTTGTTTGATTGAGTAAAGCATACACTCAAAGGTGTGAAGAAGCACTAGGTAATTTACGGATGCTTTAAGCTTTATAATGTTCTCAGTTTGTTTGCATGCATACTGTAACAAGAAGGATATGGTAGCACATCTGCACAGCGAACAAAATTGCTTCAGGGAAAGTAAGGCACTTTGCTTAGACCAAATGTTATTACATTTCACACATTTGGACCAACTCAAGCATACACATGTTCAAGCATACAATGGCATAGCTATCCTTTATATATTTCATATTCCAGGAGATACCACAGGAGAATACAGATTATTGTGTAACTACAGATATCTTGTATGATGGTTTCTATCTCCTCCCAGGGAGGATGTGATTACAGCTGCTTCTTAGCCAGATTTCTGCTTTGCTCAATAGAAGGGTGAACTCTTTGGTACTGGAGTATGGCCCAGACAAGGTGCTTGAAAGAGAACTCCGGCCAAAGAGGGTCTGGATTCTGCAAATGACTGAACGTCGTCTGCCACAGAAGGAAATTGCTCAGGCGAGTCTCACCTGAGGTCCGGATCACAATGTCAGGATCGGGGCAACCAGCGCTGTACATATGGCGGTCCAGATCTGCCACTGAAATGTCTGAATACACACCATTATTCGCAACACTGTCAGCATCCTCCCTCTGCAGTATATCCCTCCTTTCTGCACAGACCTTATTGACCGCATTGACAATCTCAGAAGTGGAGTTGTATGGCATGCAAACAGAGAAGACCAGTCCCGTGTTTTCAGCAGTGGTAGCCATCAGTTTCTCAGCTGCTACCCTCACTGATTTGCTCAACATGTCCAAGTTCCCCCAGAAGTTGATCTTACAGTTAACCTTGTTGATGACATTTCTGTTTTCTAGCAGTTCATTGATCTTTTCCTCCATTAACTCCATCAAGGATTTCACCTCAGTCGGATCTCGCTTAAAATTATCGATGCTAAATGCATACACCGTGATATACTTCACGCCCATTTCATAGCAGTAGAGCAGGCTGGCAATGAGAGCAGAGAAGCCCACCCTGTGACCAGAGCCTTCCTGGATACTCCTGAATTTAGCATATCTACGGTTACCATCCATAATAAATGCAATATGCTTAGGCATTGGGCCATACGAGAGGACAGCTACAATGCATTTGCGGATGAAATTCTGCAGACTAGCAAGAACACCAGTCGCAATTAACTCATCAGTGTTCTCCGTCTTTGAATCCTAAACCAAAAAAGTAAAACTCAAGTATAAGAATATCAGCGAATGACACAGCTAAGCACAAAGGAAAAGTCGCAGCTCTTTGATTATCTTTACATGACTAATAATACCTCCACCTGGATACTTGTTCTACATAAGAGATTTAACTATATATCACTGCATATGAATCTAAAACATACCACTGAAGGTGAGTAAGACATAAGTGAGCCAAGCATTTTGATGGGGAGGAACCAACAAGCAGTATCAGACCTGCAAACTGGAAAAGAAATAAAATTTTCAGATTTGCTTGCTCGGGTCAAGAAAAAGAAGGGGCACGTGTTTGCCATAAGAACAGGATACATTAAAAGGCTATAGATTACTATCTATTTTAAGCATGTTTTCCTGTAGGGAATACTAATTTCAGAAGAATGGATACCAAAAATGATTGATATTTAATATAAGTTCTCTGGAAAATACATCAAACTCTTTATATTTAGCAAAGTTTTAGCAGGGAGTATTTGATAGTTAAACTGAAAGGTATAGCCTTTGGATTTACCATACTATATTTTGATTGACTTCACTTAAATTTCCTAACAAAGTGAGACAAAGATGATGGCTAGCTATGCAGATGTTGGGGCTCCAATCCACGTGTGTATATCGGGAAGATTTCCCATCAACTGAAGTTATGATGATGTAATACTCATGGGATAAAGGCAAAAATAGCATACTTTTCCAGAGTTTGGAACACAAGACAACAAATAAAGCACCTGCACTTCTCTTTCATTAACAAGATAAGCACACTTTTTAGCTATCGAAATCCCTATGCCCTTGTAGGCTAAAGAAAGCTTTCACAAAAAGGGAGGAATTTCTAGCCAGAAGCTTCTAACAACGACTAGTAATAACAAGCACAAGTGAGCAATCAATCCAGCACAAATAACAGCTGGATTAGCATCAACCAAACCACAGCCACACCCTCGGATCCGCCCCACAAAAAAAGAACCAACCTGAGCACATGCACCTCCTCACAGGTATTCCATCGAACACGTGGTGAGCAAGCAAACGCGAGTAGCAAATCAAGAACCCCGAGGAGGAGCAAGCGGAGCGCACAGAGAATGAGAGAGAGAGAGATCCACACCTGCGTGGCTCAGGAGGCGGCGGCGGCTGGTGTGGTGAGTAGCAGCGGTAGAGGTAGGAGATCGGGGTGGCGCTGTTTCTTTCTTCCCCCTTTATAGCCGCCGCTCCGCACTCACGCAGCCAAACACCCCAGTCCACCCCCAGCGAGCGCGACGGAAGAGGAGGACTCGGAGGAGGGGGGAAAGGGAAAGACCGCGACGCGCCGCGCCACGACCACGAGGCGCCTCGCCTCGCATCCCCGTCGCGAAGATTCTCTTTGTTTGGGTCTTGACGTCTCCTTTTTTTATGTCGACTTGTGTGCCTCCTGGTGGCTGCTGGTGGTGGTGGTGCTCGCCCCGCGGGCGCGCCACCGCCACTCCCTCGCCTCGCGCCCGCGCCCGCGCGCGCGCCAGTGAAAAGTACTAGTAAAAAATACTAGTGGCGAAACGGGCGGTGTCGCGGAGAGCCCCCCGCGGGTGTGGAGCAGGTTGGGTGGGTGCGTCTCCGCGACGGCGGCGCCAAGCTTGGTTCGTTCGACCACCTCGAGCTGGATTTCCTTTCAGGAGGCGGCGGGTTGTCCGCCGGCTCGTCGTCGGGGCTTGGCCGATGGGAGATTGCGGGGGAAGAAAGGGGAATTGGGCCACCTAAAACTCAGCTTTTCCAAGGGGTGTGTTTAGATGCGGGTAAAACTTTCTATTTGCTGTCACGTCGGATGTTTGGACGCTAATTTAGAGTATTAAATATAGACTAATAAAAAAACTAATTTTATAAATGAGAGCTAATCCGCGAGACGAATTTTTTAAACCTAATTAATCTATAATTATAAAAAGTTTATTGTAGCATCACATTGTCAAATCATGACGTAATTAGGCTCAAAAGATTCGTCTCACGAATTAGTTCAAGGTTATGGTATTGGTTTTGTAATTAGTCTATATTTAATACTTCAAATTAGTGTCAAAAATCCGATGTGACAGGGACTTGGAATAAGTCCCCGTTTTCCAAACAGGGCAAGTCTTGTCATCGAGTTATAAAATCGTCCTCTAACCGTAAAACCAGATATCGGACGTCTCTCAACTAACAAGATCGTTCACTTGAGGTCCTTCATTAGTTTTGACTCCGGTTTTGCCTAACGTAGCGGCTGAGTCAGAATATGACCCACGTGGGCCCCATATGTCAGGATGCCAAATCAGCATCCTCTCTCTTTTCCTCTCTTCTCTCCCTTTCAGGATGGGAATGGTTAGGATATGGATCGAACCTAAACCGTTTTAAGTGAGTTCATTGATCCATTGTTTAATAGGGTTAATCTATCATGAGTCCACTATATCAATGGGGTATCCATGGATATCTAAATGGATCATCTACGTTACTATAGAGAAAAAAATTCTTATTACATGTATGTAAAACTTGGGCTCAAAATTTTTAAACTCGCGTTCACATTATAAAAACTTATCAAATTTAATTGAATTTTGCAGAGATGATTTATTATATGGAGAAGCAACTTTGTACAAATTTTAAGCCATCTAGACATGCGGGACCCACGATGCATTACTAAGATTTAAAAATTCTAGTTACATGTGTGTAAAACTCGGATCCAAAATTCTAGTTACATGGAGCAGGTTGGGTGCGTCTCCGCGACGCCACCAAGCTGGGTTCATTCGACCACCTCGAGCTGGATTTCCTTTTAGGGCTCCGGAGGAGGAGGAGGCGGGCGGTGGCAGGTTGTCCGCCGCACCGGCTCGTCGTCGAGCCGAGGCCAATGATCGATTGCGGGGAAGAAAGGGGATCGGGCCACCTAAAACTCAACTTTTTACACAGGGATTTGCAGGCAAGGAGTACCTATGCATCTTTCGAAAGATTTTTATGATTATATCACACAGATTTTTATTCTTTGGATTAAAAGCCAATAGACACAGTAAAAGATAAAAAGTAACTAAGAAACATCATAATGGACACTAAATTACCATATCTTCAAAGAAAAAGACCAAATCCAATATAAATTTCAAAACTTACATACGAAGATTCAAAAATTACACTGTAACTTACAAAAGTTACAATGTAAGTTTCATAAATTATATTATAACATACAAGAAAATACACTATAAATTTGAGTGAGAAAATCGAGGGACAGATAAGAAAAAAATCTTTCGAGTGAGATATAGCAAAATCGTTGCAGGCTCATCTCATCGCAGCCCATGCCCATCTCATTGCAGGCTCTCACGGCCCAACTGACTCCTAACTAAAACAAAATTATTTGACATGTTTAAGTATACTTAATTAGTTTAAATACAGATCATGCTAAGCGCGAGGCCCACTTTCACTTGCGTTAGCGAAGATTTACAGTTGTTTGGCAACTTCGAGTTAAAGATTTACAGGGTCTTGGTCTCAACAGCTAATGATGAATTGATGATATACTATCCATCACTGTTAACTGTTCAGCATTCATACCGGAGGATGATGCCATGAAAATTAAGGATTACTAGTACGAGTGTCATCCTTTCAGTGCAACAACCAACAGACCTTCCCTGACTGCACTTGACAAACGGGGGCCAATCAACCGGCTCCAAACAAGACCCATGAATTTACTACAGTATCTGCTGTCCTTCTTTCGCAGTGACAGAAATAATTGAGAGACACTAATTGCTCATCTCCCTCCTTAATTAGGATTGTCCCCTGCCACCACATTCGTATATGTCAGATGTTCTATACCCTGTCGTATGTACGTCCGCCTAAACAAGGGTCCGCCTAACCTTTTAATTTTTCGTTTTCACTTTTGTTTGTGCGCCATGCTCTATTGAAATTTAGCATATGTTACGGTCGTAAATATATGGTGTTCAGATTGTAGCTAAAATAAACCTTACCAAAATAATTTTAGCAGGATTTCTTATGTATTTATCAATTTAACAACAAGCTAAACGTAACTATTCTTTTAGCAACTTTACCATGGTTAAAAATGACACCGAAGTAAACAGCCCCTTTATCATTTGAGACATCGATCAGTGTTTTGGAGTTTCTTCCTTCCAACATTGCAATGTCTTAACAGATCAGTGGTGTACTAGTACAAAACTCCAAGTCGCGGTTTACAACAAAAGAAAAAAAATAGACGTTTAACCCTTTTTCTTTACCACAAGGAATACTCCATCCATCTCATAATAAGTTTATTTTGTAACGGAGTTTATAAAAATAGAGAATAATTGTATTTGGTGTAGATAAAGTGCTGAAACAGTTACATTGGGATTTTACAAAGTAGAGATATTCTATTTATTTTAATTTTGTATTGGTAGATATAAAACGAGTGAAAAATAAATTTATTTTGGAACGGGTGGTATCTTGCAAGCATCGGGCTGCCGGAACCAGGCCGGCCCGAGCTCAGCGAGGCCGAGAAAGCAATCGAACACGGCCAATCCTCCCCTTTCCCCTCGCACACCACACCGCGGCACCGCGCGCGTCACCGGCCTCGCTCGCGGCGCGTCACGCTGCTCGTGCGTGCGGCCACCACTACCACCGCCGCGATCGCTTTCGCGCGCACACACACGCAACGCACCAAGAGTCCGAGACTGCGCGACAGGGCGAGCGAGGGGGGAAAATGGCGTGATCTGCAGCAAAACGAGAGGGGAAAACGCAGGAAAACGAGCGGGCGACGCAGGATTCTGTGGATATTGTGGGTACCCCATACCCATACGGCATGGTTATCCGACTAGTCATAGGGGATAACTTATATCTATGGAATATGTAATAGATCATGACTCGGGTATTACGTTTCCTTGTATATTACGGAACGGCCTAAAGTCCTGGTTTGATAATATTGTAAAGTAGATTTAGGAAACCGATACCGTATTGGTTAAGGTTTCTATCTTGTAATCCTGCCCCCCATCCTATATAAGGTGGGCAGGAGGCCCTCTAGGGGGCAGATGACATAACCTAATCGTCAGATCAATACACACTCGGCGGATTCAAATCCCCAAACAGGAGTAGGGTATTACCTCTCATTGAGAGGGCCTGAACCTGTCTAAATCCTTTGTCTCTGCATCCATCCACTTTTAGGTCTCGTGCGCTACCCCCTTTTATTATTGCCGAATCCATGTTTCGACAGTTGGCGCGCCAGGTAGGGGTTGCGTCGAGTTTCCTATCAACAAGCGCGATGGAATCAATTTCATGAGTCGCCGACTTCGTTTTCGCTTTGGGAGTTTTCACTTCCTTTCCGTCGACCACTTCTTCAAGCTCCTCTTCTCTGACTTGATCCAAATCAGTCAGGGGGAAACTCAATCTGATTTTTATCATTATTTATCGTACTGATTTTTAATCCTAGATTAATCTCTTGCTATTTTTTGTTGTTGTTCGCATATAATTACGCGGCACTATTGAGGCGATTGATGCTGGTCATGGACTCGAGGCGTCTCAGCTTTCCGGTCGATCGGCCGCAAGTCCACTCTGCCGGCTTGTCTTCGCCACCGCCATTGCTGATAACAACAACGACTTCACCGCCGGCCTGCCTCCGTCGCCGCCGAGTGGTGCCTCCGCCTACACGGCTGGCCTATTATGCCGCCGCTGTTGGGCGTCTACGACTTCACCACCGGCCTGCCTCCGTCGCCGCCGATTGGTGTTTCCGCCTACACGGCTGGCCTATTATGCCGCCGCTGTTGGGCGTCCACGTCTTCACCGACCGGCTTGCCTTTACCGCTGCCGATTGGTGTTTCCGCCTGCACGGCTGGCCTTTATGCCGCCGTTGTTGGGCGTCTACGTCTTCACCGACCGGCTTGCCTTCGCCGCTGCCGACTGGTGTTTCCGCCTGCACGGCTGGCCTTTATGCCGCCGTTATTGGGCGTCTACGTCTTCACCGACCGGCCGCCTCGTCCGCCGCCGACTGGTGCTTCCGTCTGCACGGCTGGCCTTTATGCCGCCGTTGTTGGGCGTCTACGTCTTCACCGACCGGCTTGCCTCCGTCGCCGCCGACTGGTGCCTCCGCCTGCACGGCTGGCCATTATGCCGCCGCTGTTGGGCGTCTACGACTTCACCGCCGGCCTGCCTCCGTCGCCGCCGATTGGTGCCTCCGCCTACACGGCTGGCCTATTATGCCGCCGCTGTTGGGCGTCTACGACTTCACCATCGGCTTGCCTTCGCCGCTGCCGACTGGTGTTTCCGCCTGCACGGCTGGCCTTTATGCCGCCGTTGTTGGGCGTCTACGTCTTCACCGACTGGCTTGCCTTCGCCGCTGCCGACTGGTGTTTCCGCCTACACGGCTGGCCTATTATGCCGCCGCTGTTGGGCGTCTACGACTTCACCACCGGCCTGCCTCCGTCGCCGCCGATTGGTGCCTCCGCCTACACGGCTGGCCTATTATGCCGCCGCTGTTGGGCGTCTACGACTTCACCACCGGCCTGCCTCCGTCGCCGCCGATTGGTGCCTCCGCCTACACGGCTGGCCTATTATGCCGCCGCTGTTGGGCGTCTACGACTTCACCGCCGGCCTGCCTCCGTCGCCGCCGATTGGTGCCTCCGCCTACACGGCTGGCCTATTATGCCACCGCTGTTGGGCGTCTACGACTTCACCGCCGGCCTGCCTCCGTCGCCGCCGATTGGTGCCTCCGCCTACACGGCTGGCCTATTATGCCGCCGCTGTTGGG